GTGGGGGTGGTGGGTGAGTGGGTAGGAAGGGGAACGAGGGAATTGTCGATGGCGGCAGGTCGTGGCGTCTCGATTTCAAAGTTCACTTGAATGGCGTGATATTCTCTGTCTGGTGCTTTGCTTTTGGGAGTGCTAGAAAAAACGTTTCAGACTACGGAGGACTGAGACGCTCGTGAGTTTAATTCATGGGTTTCACGGTCGCCAGGGGAACTTTTTCTTTTTTTTTTTTTGGAGAAATTGAAGTTTTGACCATATGAGGATTGAATTTTTGAATTTCAATTAAGATTGAATTTGGACTGTGTCATACCTTTGGCTAGTCAAATTTTTGAGAAATTCATTCATTAATTCCATTGAATTACATTGTAAAGTCAACACGAGTTTAATTTGACTAAGGGTGTATTTGAGATTGCAATTAGGATTTTTTTATGTAATCGTACACTACTTTTAGATTTATGTGTTTGATAATTTTTTTAGATTGATTTTTTTTAAAAAATTACAAAAATCATAGTAGATTTACAGTAGAAGCCTCATTTTAAAACTTTCTAAATATAACTTTTACAAAAAAAAAAACTTAATATTAATATAATTGTAAAATTATTTACCACAAAACAATTGTTAAATTATTCATTAAAACTTAATTTTATATAATTTAATTGCATCATAATTTATAATATTTTAATAATGATAACAAATTTAAAAAACTTAAATTATTAAAAAAATAAATATTGTTTATTTTAATAACTATATATTTTATAATATTTTAAATTTTTAATTAATAATTAATAAAATTTATCATATTTCATCTATAATAGTTTTAATAAATAAATAACAAAATACTAAAATAACTTTCAATTACAGTTACAGTATAATACAACACAGTTCAGTACAGTTACAATTATAATTACAATACTTCATAACAATCCAAAATGCACCCTAAATTTATATGAGAAAAACAAAAAAAATTGTAAATAACTAGACTAACAACATTAAAGATGCATTGTTCTCTTAAATATAGTTAGGTGATATTCTCTTCAAGTATGTGGGACATTTTAGGTTAAATTTGGGTTAATGGAAGCTTTTTTATGGTATGTAGTATTTTGGGTTAATGAAAGATAGAGTCCTATATTATATATATGGTGAATTTAAAGCTTTAACTCTTTTCTACTGATGAATTAAATAAATTAATGATAATTTTTTTTTACCAAAATTAAGAAGTTCAATTTGAATCATAAATATAAAGGAAGTTTATTTTTAATTATATAATTTAAAATAAAAAAATTCAACTCTTCATATACATTATTTTTTACTTTAATTTTGAGTTGGTTGTGATTCATAAGTTGAATTTTTTTTATTCGATTCATAAACTAATCTAATTTGACCATTTAAACTTTTATTTGTGATTAGTCAAATACATTAACATGAAATGTAATTCATGAAGTGGGGCATTCAAAATTTTCCTCAACTTTTTATATTAGTAATGTTTAAAATAAAAAATTATAAATTTATAATTTTTGAGAGTCTCAACCTTAACATGCTTATTAGAGGAAAATTTATTTAAAAAGAATACAAGGCACAACAAGATTTGTGAAGTTGTGATTACCATTTACCATATGTTCTCACATTAATTTAATATTTTTATTAAACAAATTGTTAAACTAATTGGGGTAGGAACATTTGTATTCAAAATTTGTTATGTCTGCCCCACCATTTTATTTAAATCCTATCCAAATTGTAACCTCAATCTATTAATATATTATTTATTTATTTATGAAGTGGGTAGGGTGGGTTACACATTACATAGCTTCTGAGGACTAATAAAGGGCAGAAGTAGGTTCCCTTTCGTTTTCTTTAAATTTTGGGTGATAAGATTGGTGTGTGGGCCTACTCACTCTGTACAAAGCAAAAAAAAAAAAACAACGAACAAACAAAACAAAAATAATAATAAAAGCCTAAATTTTGCACAAGTTTGACAATAATAATAATGCCTTTATGAAAGCAACCTCCCACCTATTCCCTCACTTCCTCTCCAAACAGAGGAATAGTGTGAAGGAAAGGTACTCAAGAAAGGAAAAAGGATTGCTTGTGATGTGTAGGACTGACGTTTGCCCTATGCCGCACGGAATCAGAAGCAAATTTGATGGAATGGTTATTGCTCACACCTCCTTCTATTAATTAGGGCTAAATAATTTGTTATTGTTATCTGTAAATAAGATAGTGATAGATATATATTTTATTTTAATTTATTTTATAATATATTTATTAAAAAATTATTATTTTAA